TTACTATCCACTCGATAAAGGATGGCGCCAAAGACATAGGGAGGCAAGTGGATATGATTGCAAGACATGGAGGCGAAGAAAAGAGGACAAAATCAATACAAACGTGGCCGATAAATATTATTTGACTTTTATACACTTACCCTTTTCTATGAATTTTCTTCTAATAAATTCCTTCCACAAGTGTTTAACATTCTATTTAAGCTAATCAAGATTCATTCACAAACCTCAAAATAGTAACAACATTCTTCTTCCCTCTCTTTTCTCCCATATATATTGAAGAAGGGATCCCACTTTTTCTTGATATAAATCTTCTTAATACCATCCTTTCTTCTTCGAGAAGGAGATTGACATCTTCTTGATTCTTACCTCTCTCTTCTGGGCATTTCTGCCTCGTAAGCTCGGCCACTGTACCACTACAATATAATATCAATGTAAGCTACTGTACTTAACCCCCTCTTCGATCTCTTAGCTTCTCCTTCTGCAACTACATTTTAAGGAATCATACGATATTTTTTTTCTTACAAAGAAGAAATACTTGAACCAGAGACTTTCAAAAGAAGAAATAACACGAATATCATTGACTAAGCTTGATTATATGTTTGTGCACGAACCTAGCTTTTTGATATATTTACCATAATTAACTTGCATTGCGAATTTAATTGAAGTAATTCGCTATATATAGCCCCTAGTAATTGCCAGAAAATAAAGATTTGCCAACAAGAAAGGGGGGCTTCAGGCTAAATTAACAACAACCTATGGATGCTAGTAGAGTATTGGTCTCCACCAGCTATGTAAATGGTTGCAATGGATTCAAGCATTTTAAGATATCAAATATTGGAAACCGGAAGGTGAAGAGAATCTTACCTTCATATTTTTGGACTATCCTTTTTCTTTTTCTTTTTCTTTTTCTTTTTTCCTAGCATTGATGAGTTGTTAAGCAGCTGCAATTTTCTGTTACTGTGCCTAAATTAGCAGTCATTCGCTAGTTTTATGATGCATTGCTAAATAAACAAGTTTTTTCAAAGGCGAGTAAACTCTCTCAAACTATGATGGTTTGGGAGTCTTAGTTTTCACGTTTGCGATCTATCTTGATATGCAGAATGAAGAATGTTTGCTGGCCTTACTTTGATCCTGATTTTGATAGTCTGCCAGAGAGGATATTTGGGCCCACGTAAGTGATTTATCTTTCAATATAGAAACCTTGAATTCATAATCAAACCTATGATAATCACCATAGCTACAGGCTCCTGAAGAAAACATATATTGTTCATCATGGCATTGCAGTTGTAGAGTTTGTATTGATAATGAAAGCATGGAAGATTGCACAGTTGTGAAGGTTGACAGCGTAAATAAGCAGGGCCTCCTCCTGGAGGTTGTGCAAGTTCTGACAGACTTGAATCTCACCATCTCAAAAGGCTATATTTCTTCCGATGCTGGGTGGTTCATGGATGGTAAGTATTTTATGCATTCTATTCACAGCATTTTGTTGGGCCTTATGATCAATCAATGTTGATGAACGATTGATTTGCGCATTGATCATGCAGTTTTTCATGTTAAAGATGAGCATGGCAAGAAACTTAGAGATCAAAATGTTATAAACTATATCCAGCAGGTAATCAAACTCCGATCTTTCATCAATCTAGTGCGATTAGCGTGATTGTTATTGAGATTAATTTAACGAAGAATTACCACCCAACTTAAAAGCTTTAATTTTTAGGCTATAGGGACAACAAGGGAGAGTGCCCCAAGCCCTCCTAATGCAAGAGCATATACCAACAATATTTTCGATGCCGACCATTCAAGCGATCACACGGCCATTGAAATGTCAGGAACCGACAGGCCTGGCCTCTTCTCCGAGATATCAGCTGCCTTGGCAGACCTTCAATGCAACATTGTGGAAGTCCATGCTTGGAGCCACAATGCTCGATTAGCTTGTGTCGCTTATATTTCCGATCCATCCTCCCGCACACCAATTGAAGACCCTCACCGCCTCGCCTCCATCGAGGATTATCTAACCACAGTGCTCCGCGCCAACACAGTGCGAAGCGCTGGTGAACCATCCCAAATCAACAATCGAGAAGTGAAGACCGGGGGCTTTCTTGGAGGGGAAGGCACCGTAAGCAATGTAGAAAGGAGGTTGCATCAACTCATGCTTTCGGTAAGAGATTTTGATGGGCCTACAAGCTCATCCTCAACGGGAACCGGATTGAATAACAACAAAGGAGGGTCAAAGATGGTGGTTTCGATCGAGAACTGTGACCAAAAGGAGTATTCAATTGTTAACATAAAGTGCAAGGATCGGCGAAGGCTCATGTTCGATACCATATGCACACTTACCGATATGCAATATGTGATTTTCCATGCTTCGGTTAGCTCTGATCATGATGGCCGTGCATTTCAAGTAAGTAGGAATCAAAACATTCAAATAATATATATATATATATATATATTTCCGCAATCTTTTTTCTCAATGAACTAATTAACCACAAATATTTGTTGCTACAGGAATACTTCATTAGACACAACGATGGATATGCACTTAACACAGAGAGTGAGAAAGAACGAGTAATTAAATGCTTAGAGGCTGCAATAGAGCGTCGGGTTAGTGAGGTGAGCCCTCGTTAAAAAATAAAATAAAATAAAATTATTACATGGATCTAGAATCATATGATTTTCAATGATCAAATTTGTTTATATTTGCTGTTTGGGCGCAGGGTGTTCTGCTGAAGTTACGTGCAGAAAATAGATTAGGGCTTCTATCGGACATAACTCGAGTTCTCCGAGAAAATGGATTGGCCGTCGTTCGAGCAGACGTAGCAACAGAAGGAGAGAAAGCAGTGAATGCTTTCTATGTAAGAGACATCTCAGGGAATGAAGTAGATATGGGATTCATCAAGTCAATGAAGAAGGAAATGGGTCTAACTGATCTTGAAGTGATCAAGAATGATACCACGACGACAACGTCGGCGAGGACGATCACAGATATTAGCCCACATGAAAGGCATCGTTTCTCTTTTGGAGACTTGCTCAAATCTCAAATTGAACGATTTTCTCACAACTTTGTTCCAATAGATTAAGTGATCAAACGTTTTAGTACTTCATTAATGAATTTATCGTTTTATTGGTAGCTAGGATTTGTACAAATATTAATTAATTGTTATTTGTTAATTTTATAAAGATATTTAGGCAGAGTTAATAAACTACAAAGTGGGACTGTTTAATAATCACTTGGATCCACTGTAATGGGATATCAATTTGGTAATTCTTAAAAAAATTACTTTTTAAGAATTATTTTAATGAGCCACACATCCTACAGTAATGCGTACTAACAAAAACATGGAGAAAACACCTCATATAAATACAATTCATTATGAACGGGACACTGTTTTCATCTTCCTAGCCTAAAAAATAAAAAATCTATTTGTGTTAAATAGTCTTTGAGATAATTTTGGTGTTCAAAAACTAATTGAAGTTGAATATTTTGTTCAAATCAAATCAATTTTTAAAACATATAATAAAATAATTTTTTTATCCTTAAAAAAAAAAAAACTAACAAGCAAATATAAAGCCTTTTCATGATGTCGTTGATGTCGAATGATTTAGCTCTTAGGATATTTGCATTTTTTTTAATTGCTAATTTTTTTATAATTAATTGGTTGTGTGGGTCAATTAAGTATTTTAATAATTAAAAAAAAGAGCTAATATGTGTTATACATGTATTAGTCACTCCGCTATCTTCAAATGGCATGTGTAACCGACTTTAATAGTCATAAAAGTCATTTTGAGGTGACTTTAGTTTCGTCTCATCGTCTCTTCATTAAATATATGACACGTGTATTATAGGATGTCTAGTTTGTACCCAACAATCATTTTTTCTTTCATCTCCCTTCCTTCCTCTCTCTTCTTCACTGTTTGCATGCCTATCACTAGATTTTCCAAGTTAGCTTGTAAACTTCTATTTCTTTTTTATTTAGTCCTTATTTTTATATATATAATTTTTCTTAAAATAATTCATTGAATTAGATCTTTCTCTTGATTCTATCCTTTTTTAATTTTTTTTTGCTTTATCAAATTTGATTTTTATTTTTTTATTGCTATTTTTTTTTTGTAGTGTAAGATATTTTTTAGAGTTTTTTTTTTCTATTTCACCCTTCATAATTTTTTTTCCTAATATACTGTTTTTTTTGCTTTGCAAAATTTTCAAAAATAATATATTTTTACCTAATTTAATTCTTCAACCTTTGGTGTTAAGTTTGTTTTTTAAAATAGGTTTTATTATTGAATTAAATAGAATTGATTAATTTATTAAATATAGCATATGCACACTTCATGTTGTTTTGTTTGATTTGCATTTCAAGGACATTGTTCTAGCTATCTATGTAACTTCTTATATCATCATCCATAATTTTGCAGTTAGACTAAACAGCCTCAATAAGCCTTTTTTTTTTTTTTGTGGTAAGTGATGTCCACAATGGATTGATAATATGTTTTCAATGATTTTTTTTTTCTGGATATAATATTTGTGACTTATTTGTTGTGGTTGATTGTTTCCAAATGTTTTTTTTTTATTCATTTATTATTGTTGTTTATAGTTTAATAACTCGAGTATTATGTTTTTGTTTTTTCATTTTGATAAATATTATCTTCGTTTAAGTATCACTTTTGTGTGCTCAAGATTTTTCAACTAGCTCACAGCGCAGCTGGGGTCACCAATCTAGTAGGCTCCAAAGCATCAACTCAATATAATGGGCTAGACTTAAGCCCTTAAATGAAGTGGCGGGCAAAATATGGGCCCAGCTCACCATTCAAATTAAGTAGCACAATCAGTCCACTTCAAGCATCCATTATGAACACCTCACGCATCCTAGATGGCACTAGCATTCCTGTACAAATTAATGGTAGGATAGCCATGTTTAAAAATATGTAGGGCAGCACTAACTTCATTTGGTCATGAAAAAACAAATATAAAGATTTCACTTCATTTTCTATTACAATACTGTTGTCAATGGGGAACTCAAACGTACTGTTTTACACTTTAACTTTTTTCTATTTTATGTATAGGATTAGCATGTGTATATTGGGTATTAAAATATACCTAAACAAGTCTTAAATTTAATCTCCTAAGCCAAATGGAGTGTAAAATCATGTGGAACACGTCAAATCTCTTAGCGGGCTGGTTCAACACAAAATGCTTCCTAATAGCTCTTAAACCCTCCTTAAGCCTCCTATATTTCTCTTCTGGAACAGAAATCAATACCTCCTTCAATCTTGGTATCTCTGATACATTCACCTGTATTGCAAAGGCCTCCCATCTCAAGACATCACTGAAGGGGAGCACATAATGATCCGATAAAATAACAGGCACACATTCAGCATAGATGGCCTCAACAATTCTTGGACTAGCCACTTCATGACCACTTGGACACAGACAAAACTTGGACCGGAGCATAAATGAATAGTAGTCCAGGTCTTTAGGGAGGTACTCATGGACTTGAAGATCAGGGTCGCGGCCTTTCCAGTGGTCTAGGAGGATGGGGCGTATGGGGCCATGAAGCCCACCGGAAAAGAATGCAAGGTAGGGGCGTGGGCTGGTGGCTGGTGGAGGTGAGATGAGTTTGGGGGGTACATTGCCACCATAGAGGTGAATTTCAGGAAGGCTCACGTCCTTTCGAGGGCTGAAACCCTCTGAGCTATTGGCATTGCACAGGACACGTATTGATGTATTGTAAAGGAAAGGATTGCCGTGGGAAGCATGGGGACCCTGTCAAGTCATGAGACCTCAATTACTTACAGTCAGAGGCATATTATTATATATACTAGTCATTAATTTAGAGATGCAACGCAACGTTTTATGTGAAATTACTCACCCAATCATGACAGGAAAGCATGAAGTGATCGGCTCCTTGAGTTCTATTCCAAAAGGGGTATTTGCTTGATACCACTCTCACATAATCAGCCACAAATTGTTTCATTGCAGTGTGATCGTAGGTCAGAGGCTTGTAGAGATACTTGACCATCCATGCGACACTGAAAGGCATAAAGTAAACATGAGCTCGTAGAGGATCCCTTGTTTTAAACCTCTTGGCTCCATGCTCCATCTCGTGTATGAACCTCCCCTCTATTGTGTATATGTCTTTGCATGGCCCGTCGTGGACAATTGGTAGCTCTCCTTCTGAGTACACGTGGACCTTGAATCTCTTCTCCATCTCCATGTAACTTCTGCAATGTTTGAAATGATTCATTTAAAGGTGTACATATTCACATGTATACAAATCATATATGCTGGTCTCGACTTGACAGAGAAGCTGAAAGAGAGAGATGCCATTTAGTTATCTGTTATGATGGTACAGTTAGGATAATGACCTTGATGTTGACAATATAATGCAATTAAAAGAACCCAGAATCGCACATTTTTGGCTAGCCACTGAGAACCTAGATCAATCAATTAATTGTATGTATATGTTAACTTATGCAAATCACCATCAAGTAGCAACCCTGACACATTACCTCAACACGCCTGTAAATTTCAGCTAAAAATTTGAATGATCACTGACGAATTACAACAGCACTGATTTTAGATATTACTGGTTGAGGCAATAGGTCAAATAAAGAAAAGATTACGCTAAACCTGAGAATAACAAAAGCAAATCCCTATCAGCTGGTTGACAAAAGACTAAGGTGTCCAAAGTCATGGAACGAGGCTCACCACCGAACCAATAGTTTGCTTCATGGTGTTGAATGAAACAAAAAACATCTGGACAATTTGGTTCTACTTGCGAACCCGTTGACCTTAATTAATAAAACTCATCTCGATCCTAAACTGGGTTCATGTAAAAGATTTCCAACCCACAATTGTTTGAGTATGACACCGCGACCATGATTTTATTCTCTTTAAAAACACGAATATTTTTTTTTCTATATCTAAGAAAAGAGAGTATCAATGTGATCATTGGCTAGAACACTTCTATTCGGTGGTCTCAAGCCCACTCAACCATTTTATGCATAGTGACCATAATGAGTACAACTTGAGGATGTCATGCATGTTCAGCTTGCTAGCTACTGCTTGCCGTTTGCCTAGCAGTCTTTTCAGCTAAGAGCAAGAAAGGACCACTTGGCAATTTTTCCCTTTCAAAACCCACTAACCATAAAAAGCAGGAGCATCCATCTCGACACTGTCGATTACAATAGAGAACAAAAGCCGCTTTTTGCCAGTGTAACAGTACTTATTATGATCCACATTATATCATACGATTGAAAACAGTTTTGTATGCCAAAGAGAAATGAGTGAATTTTGAGTGCGTTTTTGACACATGTGTGCACACACCATGCTTCACTTATAAGAATTTTCTCCATTTTTCCACAATCGCACAAAGAGCAGAGTTTCCGTACAAGCCAAGCAGTTTATAAAGTCTCGAAGCTCTAATTTATTATATATTTTTATTATTATTTAGGTTTTTTTTTCAATTTTTGTAAATTAATTAAGATTTTTTTGGATTTTATTTCCAGTAATATCTTTACTTAATTTGCAGAATTACCAAATGATTATGTTTCTACATTAATTTATATTAAATAGCTTTCACATTGTAGTTTGAAATATAGTAATAAGACCATTAAAAAAACAAGAATTTAGTCGTCGAGTCATTAGATTGATCTTAAATTTATCATATCAACTAGTTAAGCCAGCACATATTTAACAATTACGGTTTGAAAATTCATTCTACTGTATATAAATATGCGGTTTGCATGTTTAGCACATCATGATATATAGTTTTTAATTTATGAATTAATTACTGATTTGAATAAAATACCCTCCTTATCAAAAATAAATAAATAAATACCGAAGTAAATCGGTGAACTAGCAATGATATTAGTTCTTTCAGTTGAACCACTGTCTCACTTATAGCATTTTTTTTCTTTTTCACAATCATATACACATATTAGGAATTTATTAGATTTTGCATAAAATTGAGCATAAGAAAAAATTATGATATTATTTTATTGTAAAATAGTTACATAAAAATTAAACTCTTTCAAGCTCCATTGCTGGAACAGAAAGACCAAAAATGGTTATTGTCCGGTTAAGTTATTCAAGTTTAACTAGCCGGTTCTGTTTCATCCGGTTAAATTTGATTTGATTTGATTTAAATAGCCAGGTGTTTATAGTCTGATTAATATTTATTTTTGTTATTTTTCAAAAAAAAGAAAAGAATTCTGTTTCTTGTGGCGGAGTTGAATAATTCGAAGCTACTAAAAGTAATTAAACCGACTTACTGATAAAATGCTCTTGCATTAAGATAAATAGCACCGGCGACGTCGTTTTCATCACCGTCAGCGACGATCCTCGAAATGTTTCCAGTTAACGAAGCTGCCTTTCTAATGGTAGCTCGAGCTCTTGCAAGTCCGTGCTCCATCTCTTCTTCTTCTTTGCTCAACTTCACATTCTTCTTCTTCTTCACATTTTCCTAATCATCATGCACATTTAATCAATCAAGAACAGTTAAGAGGAGAGAAAGAAAGAGAGCGAGAGAGAGAGAGTTGAGTTACTTACAGTTACATTGAGTACGGTGGTGTTGTTAGATGGAGCAGCAGAATTGTAAACGGTGAGGATTGGATCATCGTGATGATGATCAGAGCTGGTACTGATTGATATTGCTTTTGTTTGTAACTCAACGATTGGAACTGAGAAAACTGTTGTGTATTCAAATTTAGGAGCAGAATTAACAGAGAAGATATTTTTATTTATGCAACCAAACAGGAGCAAAACGGGAAGGAATAGCAGTAAAGAAACCAACGCAGATGAAATGGTTTCCATTTTTAATCAGCATGAGAGTTGATTCCTCTATTTCTCTCCTCACCTCCTCATATCTGATAGATAGCAGTACATAGAAAAACAGAGAGAGAAAACGTGAGGGAGAAAACGGTTTGTGGAAAGGAAGAGAGACAGAGAGAGAGAGAGAAGGAAATCAAAATGCGGGGTGCACTCAGAGAAGTTTGTTTGGGATTTGGTGTCTTACAGAGTGAGAGTGAATGAAAGCGTGAGCAACGATATATATTTTAATACGTTCTTTGAAAAAAAAAAAATTAAAAAAATATTTTTTTTTATTTTTTAAAATTTACTTTTAATAATGATATATTATAACGATATAAAAAAATAAAAAAATTATTTAAAATAAAGATTTTCTTTTCCACAGGGCAGTAGTAGTGATTACCAGACATTAGAGTCAAGGAGCTAGAGAGAAATGAGTGATTTTTCAGTGCTCAGTGGATCCACACGCGCACACACACACACACCTGCACCAGGCTTCAATTACAAGGATTCTTACGCATTGTAAAGACACCACAGAAGTTCGTATCGTAGAAGCAAAGCATACATGAATTGATCAAGAGGATTTAAAAGCTCCAATCTTTTAGTAATAATATTATTGTTAATCTTGAAAAGCATTCCTCATTGAAGCTTCAGCTTTCAAATAATTAATCAAATCATGGAATCTAATGATTTTTCTTAATTTATCTACAAAATTAATCATATATATAATATTAAATACGATTGGTATTAATAAGAGAAACACATTAATGTAGTGTCTTACAGAGTTATGACGATCATGATTAAAGCTGGTAATTATTGCCTTTATTGTTTGCCATGACAGGATATTGGAAATGAAGTTCTTGTATATTCAAATTTAGGAGAAATAGAGACTCTTAATTATTAAAATAAAAAAAACATATAAATGTAAACAAAACTAATATTATCTATGAAACCATAGTATTTAAATCTTATCTCGTAGATTAATTCAAGAACTTACTAACTTCATCTAGCTAAATCAAGTTTTAAATTAAACGAAAAAAATATTAACTCATATTTAATCTAATTAAATTTTTAATTATTTGATTAATCCAGATAAACTCAATTAATTTCTTACTAGATTAACATTAAAATTTAAGAAAAAATAATTCTATTTTAATAAAAATAATAATTTTAAACTGATTTGATAACCCCAAAAATATTTCAACTAAATTCCTGGTTGGGTTGATAACTATAAATAAATCAAGGTAATATTTAGTTTGTTATTTATTTATGAGAATCAAGAATTAATTATTTTTTCTTCTTTGTTACTGTTGACATGAGGGAGAAGGGGAGGTAAATTGGATTGCGACAGAGGATTAACAATATGTTATTTATTAGCTATTTTTTAAAATATTTTTTATTTAAAAATATATTAAAATAATATTTTTTTTATTTTTAAAAAAGTTTAGGGGCCTAATTATATTTTTAAAAAAATTAGGGGCCTAAAATGTTAAAATCACACCTAGCTCCAATTATAGAAAAAAGAAAAGGAGGCTAGAATTTTGTTTCATCATCAATTTTGGTCCCTAAAGTCCTAATTATATTTAATCAAGAAAATTGATTTTGATTTTTCAAAACCAAGTATCAATTGAATGCTGGAACCTTTTACAACTTTGCAAGAAATCCTTATAAAATTAACCGAAATAAATTATAAAATTTAATTTTAAATAAATTACATGTGGAAGGATCAAATTAAATAAAAGTAAATAAATAACCTTAAAAACAAATAAATGAACTAGAAAAACATCGAGCGAATCCACGTTACATTCCTTTAAGGACTATTGTGAAAAACTTTAACTTTTTTTTTCAATTTAATTTTTAATATGTAGGTAGGTTTTGGGCCTGGGCTTAATCTGGCCTTGTGCTTCTTCTTTTTAGTTCCTTTTGCACAAATTTAACCTGCAGTGCGGTGGCTTTCTAAATGGTTGGGCTTTGGCTCTTATAAAGAAATTCATTTCATGATGAAAAAGATTTATGTAATAATTATTTATCATGAATTGGGTGGAGGTGAGTTTTTTCTTGTGGGAGTATACGGGTCTACAGTTTGAGTCTTGTATCAAACTGCTAATATAAAAAATCGGGAGATGTATTTATTATATTTTCTTTAATTAATCCAAAGTATATATGTATTTATTTATACCAAATTAATGAGAGTTAAACCCTTTGGCTAGATTCTTGTTTTATATTTCTCCAAGATCTCATCGGAAAAAGATGCTTCGATGATGAAAAGTTAGTCGGTAAAAGAAGCTTCCCTAATAAAATCTCGTTGGGAAAGAATCTACGGCGACAATCAGGAAGGAAAGAGTCTACGGCGACAAAATGTCATCAGGAAACATATAATTCAAGGCTGGCACCGGAGATGAACTTGCTCTTAATTTCACAACGAATTATCGTCGATAAAGTAATTATCTTTACCGAACAAAAAGTCAAGAAAATCCTCGACGACGGCCACTTTGTCGGGAAAAGGCTTTACCAGACAAAATTAAGGTGATTCTTTTTCGGACGAAAACTTTCGTAATTCATAGGGTATAATTCATAACTCATATTGAAGCTTAGCTTATACAAAACGAGATTAATGGTAACATGAAAGAGATTAAGGCTGTGCAATTTGATCCCGTGTGAAGGCACGGAAAAGAAGAAAGTTCTCGTGCATTTCCTCCGACAGAACTTTCTTTTGATGGGTAATTACACAATATTGTGCATCAAAGAGATTAAAAATTAATCATATGAAAATGTACAGAACAGAAAACCATGGCCCCAAAGAATTACTGAAATAATTAGAGAATTAATAAATAAGGGCATTATGCATATATAGTAATTTGGCTATGTATGCAAGAGTACGTACGAGCCATGGCATTGTAGTTTCTACGTACATTATACAATAGCATTATATGTATTTGGGTGTGTATGAAGCTATAATCTAAATCATGAAATTTATCATCTTGGCAGCCTGATATTAAGCCTCCGGAGCCACACAGAATGCATCACCATATGCACCACATCGAAGGGCTTAGCTGGTCGATGGAGCTTGAAATGTTTCTGCACTTGAACAACCCTCTTTTGCTTCTCCAAGTACTCCTCCACAGGAATGCTTTGTAAAATTGTCTTGATTTCTGGGATCCCTGAAACCGGGACCTGAACAGAAAACTTGCTCCAGTCAAGAACATCACTAAAAGGTAGAACATAACAGTCTGAAATGATCACTGGAACACAGCCTGAATAGATTGCCTCGACTACCCTAGGGCTTGCAACTTCCCATCCACTAGGGCACAGGCAATACCTGCTCTTACTCATTTGCTCGGTGTAATTTAGGGTTTCAGGGAGGTATTTGTAAACTTGAATGTCATTGTCTTCTTCTTTCCAATGTTTGAATAATATCTTTCTTACACTCCCATGGCTACCCCCGGCAAAGAAGGCAAGGATCGAACGATTGTTATCGCAAGGCTGGAGGATGTGTTCTGGTTCTAACTTTCCACGCGGGAGCTTAAATTCAGGCAAGGAGACATCCCTTGCTGGTTTGAACCCTTCCGAGGAATTGGCATTGCATAGAACTCTAATGAAGTTCCTGTACAGATCAGGGTTTGCAGCCGAAACATCTGGTGCCTGATACATCAAACGAAAGAGATCAGTTAAGAAGTTGAAGTTGTCAGCATAATTCTTCTTCTCCCCCCTCTTTTTTAAAGTAGATAGATCCTTGCAGCCAGTGAGGGGTTGCCATTAACAGTTTGTGCATAGCTATTAGGGCATGGATTAAATTGAAACACTGCTAGAAAACATTTTTTAAGCTCAATATCTCCCAAACATTAATTTTTTAGCATAATTACAATATATAATTTTCGTATATTTCTTCCTAACAAAATCCATATTAAAGCTCTTAAACTTCACTGAGCCAGATATCAAGTTATTCTAAATGTTGGGTTTTAACTAATTATCGCAACACTCTAAAAAATTAAGAGTACTTAAGAAAGGACAGGGTTACCCAATCGTGACAGGAAATCATAAAATGGTCAGCTCCACTGCTTCTATTCCAGTACGGATACTTGCTGGAAATGAGGCCAATGTAGTCCTCAGCAATGTCCTGGATTTGCTTACGAGAGTAGGTGACGTAAGGTCTGTAGATGAAATGAAGGATACTGGCTATGCTAACTGGGACGAAAAATGCAAGTGCCTCGTCAGGATTGTTAGCTGAAAATGGGCTCTTGCCACTGTCCAGTTCGTCAATGATTTGCCCCTCGATGGAGTAAATATCATTCATTGGGCCCCTGTGAAAAAGTGGTTGCTCTCCTTCCCTGTATGCCCATACTCTAAATCTCCTCTCCATCTCAATGTGGCTCCTAATAAATAAAAGAATAATATATAATTACTATACGAGGGACATGAAACTACATATACAATCCAAAATACAATAAAATTAGAATTTGAAGATTTAACAGAAATTATCAATAACTAATTAGAAAAAAAAAATATGAACTAAAAACTTTATTGATAGAAGAAAAGAAGTATTAAAAACAAAAACTCACAACAAGATTGATTGAGGTTATATCGTAATATATTATTCTTGTACTAAAATAATCATGCCCAGTTTTTTATATTCTTAATTTCTCTCTAATTTTATAAGTTTTTATTTTTGATTAACTTTTTTAATTAATCACAATTAAGAGATTTCTAACTATGTAATTACATAATAATACCTCAAGAAGGTTATATTACTTCACCTAATTAATTAATTTCAACTAAATCTACTTCAATTATATATCTCCTTATTTCTGCTTTTCTTAAATGCTAAAATGGGGGACCGTCTCAAAGTGAGAGCTCTAAGTTCATAAATATTATATTGGGGAAGTAAGAGCTGCTCTAAGTTCATAAATAGTACTTATGGAGCAGAAGTTTTCAAGCTCCTCGAGAAAATACCAAAAAGTTAAGTATGTTTGCTGCACAAAAGTACACATTGCAGTCTGTGAAGATCAGTGCTTGCCTGGAATATTGTGCAAAGACAATGACTTAGGATTACGCAGACAAACCACAACATTAATCACCATGCCATGCTAGCTGTTACACTCCATCTAGGCCTTAATATGGTTATCTTACTGAATCAAAGCCGTATAATTTTGAAAGTGGGAATTATTTACGATGATCCCCTAATTAATTTTTTTATGATCTCAGTTCAACATGACCTGTTAATCCTGATTTCCATGGAGTTTAGGCAAGTAATGCCAACCAAATCCATTATATATTATCACTAACCAAAATTGCATGTGCTAATACGCAACTTAAAGGACTTGGCATTACTAGCTAGTATATATAATTTCAACTTTCAAACGAAGATTGAGTCTAAATTGTAAATCATGGTGATAGATGAACTTAACTGATGAAAGGCGTAAGGGTTTATGTAGATGGATCCTCTAGGGACAAAGCTCTCTTTCTTATAAGATGTGTAATTACGCATTTGAGTCGCCTTTCTTATTGCTGCTCTTGCCCTTGCCAGCCCTTCTTCCATTGTTTCAATCCGGCTCTTCCTGTGCGGCCCTTTTTGCACCTGTTTGATCAAACTTTCTGTCAGCAAACAATCAAAACAGAAGTCCCATTTTGCACTATAACCTTTATAGTGCTAAAGGGCTGACTTACGCTCTTGCTACAATTAGTTGTATTGTAGAAGTGATCATCTTTAACTACACTAGGAATAGGGGGAATCATTTCTGAAGTATTTGAGAGATTATTCGATAGAGAAGCAGAAGTTTTGGTGGAGAAACTGTTGAATGAATAGAAAAGGAGAACGAGAAGGATTAAAGGGCATAGTATGCAAGGGGTGGAATAAACGAGATCAGCCATGGCAGAGAGAGGTAGTAGTGTTAGTGCATCTCATTAGGGTTTTGCAAAAACTTTGGAGGAGACAAATAAATAAATAAATAAAAGCGAAGATGTAGGGCATTTTTCCGAGATCATGAAGAATTTGAACTGGATAGAGATCTTTTGAGCCTGATCTACATTCACGTACGGCAATCTAGCTAGCTGCGTAGGTTATGCTTTTAGAGTTGGCTGTGTTTAGCTCTTCTTTTCTCCAGGATTGGATTAATAGTATGATTAGCCCCTTAATAACTCTTAATTTTTTTTTAATATGGCCCGGCCCCTCTACTTTTTTTGTATTCAATTTGCCTCTTAATCTAGGAAAATTCTTATTTAATTAATTATCACTCGAGGATTTGGATTGGCTTATTATTATTATTATTATTATTACACAAAAAGGACTTAAAGATATAATATTCATCAAATCAAATATCATAAAAGTAGAAACAGATCAAAGTAATGTTAACTAGCTAGCTAGAGTTGAAAACCAATACATCTAGTAAATGCACTGCCTTGGCTACTTTTAGAAGCAAAGATCATAAATCGGATCTTTATGGGGGAGCTAGTGGCCATGGAGTGTGGTTATTAAGGTCCAAGATTATGCTATAGCTAGTATTTTATGACTTTTTTGCTCATGAATGGTAAGTGCCGAGGGTAAGATAACTCTCTCTCTCTCTCTCTCTCTACGAGAATTTTAATTTTCTTGTCAATGGAATAAAATAAAAAAAGGAGAACCCAGTGGTACTTGGCATGGAAATTAGAAAGCAATCTCAATTCAAGAATCTTTTGTTAAATCCAGCTTGACTTTGCATGTCAACTAAATAATTGTTGATTAGAAATATAGTATAAACGAAAATATTAACAAAATGTTTCCGTTGATAAATTACAATAAATTTTATTAATGAAAATGTTTTTTTCAATATATATTAATAAAATTATAGTAAAAAAATTAAAATAAAGTAAAATAATATAATGACATGTTATTTACACTAATAAAATTATTGATGGTATTAATATCATCGGTAAAATTTATCTTTAAACTTGTTGATAAACTATTTACTTTTTCTTAATATTGTTTATTATATTAATTACCAAAAAAAATTCTATTTGTAAATATAAAAATTGTTGATAGTGATTGTTTTATTAATCACAAACATGCAAGAGATAATATAATCAAACCTAGATTATACCCGATGAAAATATATTTTTTTATTTTTAAAATATTTATTTTTAAATTAATATCATTTTAACCCAAAAAAAATCTTATAACAACCGGCCAAAATCTAATTTAAAAACTTTGCACCGAGAAAGCATGGCCATGGATTGTGTGAAATTTCATACTTCCAACCAAAGCATGGCCATTGATTGTGTGAAATTTCATACTTCCAACCAAAGCTCATCTAAACTTCTCTTATTATTTTAATTATACCTATGTATTACATAATTAACTATATACCTAATTTACTTCAAAATAGAATCAACCAGATTAATTTAATCTCCTTTGTTTTTTCTTTGGAGATTTTAATGGATTATAAGTTAAAAAAGAGCAGCACCTCTCTCTCTCTCTTTTCACGAATTCAAATCATGTTTCTGTTGAATATGATGTATAGCGTAGTAACTGTTGTATTTATGGGTGATTGAGAGTGACTCTTTTTTTTTTTTGTTTAATTTTCAAAGAAATCCATGCACATGATGCGGCAAGGTTGTTATTTTTTAAAATTATTTTTGGTTTTAAAAAGTATTAAATTATATTTTTTACACGAGAAGACATAATTTGTGATGTATCTATATTTTAAAATCAAGCAAGCATCGATTTTCCAGGCCGTGGTGCGGCTGAGAAACCAATGAGAATTAAACAAAACAACTGGAGAGAACGACTTTATGTTTATACAAACCACATAGAATAGCAAAACTCTAGTTATGGGGGCATGGGGTGAGCCGAAAAGAGCAAGGTCAGGAGGATGCCAAAGCTAGCGAAGAGAAGTTAGAACCAGTGAAGTGCAATGAGGCTGCAGACTACAACTGTTTCTCAGAATTAAGGGAAACAAAAATGAAGCACGGGGTTCACACGGCAGGACTCGTGCAAGGAACACTTGGGCCGCCGAAGCTAGAGGCAATTTCGATGAAATGAAGCTTCGAAGGGAGGAGGGTGGCTGGGGGGATTTCGGAGAGAGCCATGCAATTAAAGAGGAGGAAAAGTCTCTATCTTGGCAGATCGAAGAAAGACAATTCTTCTAAGCCTTAAGAATCCCTAGCTTCTCCAAAGATTCCTTTATGTCCTCGGCGTTGCATCCCCTGGCTTGGACAAAGTTGGGATTGTCAAACGGCGTAACGTCTTCCAGAGGATAGCTTCTGTTAGCATGAAGCTTGAGCGAACTGCTGCCAACTCCCTTCAGGACAACAGTCTTGTGAAGCCCACCTAGTAATCCTTCATAATCCGTGTCTCCACATTCTCCTGTGAAGAGCACAATATTTGACAAGTCCGTGCCCCATCGAACATATAGGTACCTGAAGAATAATCAAGAGCTTATATGGTAATTTGCCCTATGGGTTGCAAGAAGTTCAGAAGTTTACAGCGAGCTTCATTTTACTATCAGATTTGGCATAACTTAGGTTAGAGTCTCGATCACAAGCTCGTGGAATATACGCAAGCAGTCCTCATCATGACTACACCTAGATCAATCCAAATAAAAAAGTGCAATTCTTTTTTTTGCTTCTGCCGCAAACGCAGAGTTGTCAATGTAAATAAAACAACATAGTTTGGCGACAAAGGAGTTATCAGGCATCACTGTAACTCAGAAATAAGTGAGAATTATTACTTCTAGACATGTTCATTTCACCGATTCAACTGCAGCACTGGCAACCAAAAGAGTTGACAGAAATAAATAGCTTTCTTTCAAAAAGATGAAAAATTATATTGATGATATAATATATGTAATCAACCTGGAAATTTCTGAACTGAGTAATAATGTGTAATTGGATAATATATATATATATAAGGCATACCTCAGCGCCTGGGATCTAGAAGCCAGCACAGGGATCACATTTATTATGGCACCTTGTTGACAATAAATTACATTGCATCGAAGAGCCTGAATTCTCATCAATTTCCGAAGTTCCTTAACAGGGGGGATCTGTGAAGACAGAGTAAGTTCTAAGTAATAGTTGACAACGAGTACAAACATGCAAAAAAGCAAAGCAGAACTTGAATGCAGAGTCAAATCATAATCAGGGACATTAGGCAAAGGAGTTCTCGGATTTCAAAACATAATTACCAATGATAAGTCTTTCACTTTCAATGCAAAGCAATATGAAGACGACCTGGGTTCATCTTCCTCAACAACCTTTCCTTGTCCATTTTTATCATTAACAGAGATAGCCCAACGAACCAAAGTCTTCCTCAAACCTTCTGCGCCCCAACGGTATTCAATCTGTGAATGATAGTCCAAATCCAGTACAAATGGAAGTCCAGAATCATTAGAGTTTGAAGATGGATAGTAGAGATTGCTACCACTGTTACAAATAAATGCATCAAAATCCAATGGGTTCAAGCCCCCTGAATTCAGAAGAGAATTTATCTCAGATATGGTCATGGCTGTTGATAAAATGAATCCTATCAACCCAGCAGAATTTTCATTTGCCACCTCAACAACCATCTTGAGGATTTCAAGAAAATCTGAAGTCGTATCACAATCAACAGCAATGACAAAAATGTGCTTCCTCCTCCTCAGAGATGGAAATTTACTACTGCTAGTATTGTTATCTGCTCTCTCTTTAGCTCCATCCTTCCGTAAGCCTCCTCCAGCACCTTTTGAAACTGTCAGAACAGCGTTTTCTAACTTGTACTTTCCATCAACAGCATTGTCCTCATTGTCTAAAGAATTATCAAGATTGCCACTTTCATTTTTTTCCCCGTCCAATGATAGCTTCAAGTTTAAAGATAAATCCTGTATGTCTCTCAACGAATCGCCAGGTGAATCTGATTCTGAATTTTGAAATCCTTCTTCAATTTTCTGCCACTGAGGCTGCCTGGGTTTGCAACTGACTATCCGAGCTAGGTATGCTTTACAATGCTCTGGCCATGAGAAAAGGTGGATATTTTTCAGTCCGTTCTGTCTACATCTTGCCCACAGCTGCTTATCCGAAACAAGCTTGAGAAGAGCATCAGCAATGGACTGTTGGTCGTGAGGATCAACTAGCAGTCCATTGTCAAGCACCTGTAATCAATTTGTTGTCAGTATCCATAAGCTAGCAGGAATCTTCAAACTCACAGCAGTTTTGATGAATAGCCAAGAATATCATCCTAAGATTGGAAGGATTCAGCTATGTACCCACCCGATGAATGTCCACAGGACCACCATTTTTTGTGGCAACAATAGGCAAACCATAAGCTGCTGCCTGTTCAGCAAGGAGACACGTTAAATTTTCAAGAACTAATGTATTCTAAAATGAAGATAGCAGGTGATAAATAAAGAGAAACACCTCTATCAAAGTAAGTCCAAATGGCTCAATGAAAGCTGGATTAATGAACACACCCTGAAAGGGAAAAAGAATTGCCGGGATAAGAAGTCAAGAAAAGGATCAGAACTTCCTTGACAGACTGAAATCAACCATATTGTTAAATGCAAACTACAGTGTCATTTCAACACAATTCCATTTGATGAAATCTGACATCCTATTGCAAGATCAATTTGGTAAAATATGATTTATAATTATACCTTTGTTTTGGCTGCAAGACGGTAAATGTCAGGAACATCAGATTGCTTATGGTGTTTAGGGTAAGCCACTTGACCATATAGATCATATTTATCAACAAGCTTGATAACGGAAAGAAGATAAGAGGCATTTGCGCCTGACATTTCATCAATATCATCACGGTTTCCCATTATTAATGTCTGCAAAAACAGAAACCAACAAAAGATTATTTACAACTTGCATATAAAACAAATTTTGATGAGAAAGAAGAGAATAAAGAACCATTTCAACAGAGTCCAGTTATTGAAATGCATGCACTAGACATAGAAGTTCAAAGACTAGCGTACTAGGTTGGCAAGCTCCCTTAGCTGGCGGCATTCTCCAAATGCTTTGACTAAAGTAGTAATATTCTTTTTTGGGTCTGGCCTTGCAAGAGCTAGTATCATAGGCTTCCGGGGATTGGAAAAGAAACGCATTATCTGGTGATTTGAAACTGCAGTCAGTATCAGGTTTAAAATCCCTACTAGACTGTATACAAGGAATAATCAATAAGTGACAAGTAAAATCATTCAATGTCAAAAACCAAAGCAAATATGAGAAAAGAATAACTATCACCTCTGACCAAATTGGTGGATCAGGAGACGCAGGATGATCTTTGTTTTTATCTTCTTCTCCATCAGAATCTCCATCGTGTGGAGTGATATGATGAAACTCCATTCCAGGAGGAATCACCTGGACATCATTGCCATATTAAGATATGGATTAGTTTTGCCACAAAATACCGTTAGCATAAAGATATCACAACAACCAACTTCGATTTGAGGTTAATGGGAACCTCACAGGTTTAATGAAGGAATTAATAACATGTTGATGCTTACAACAGTTCGAGGCATGAACCTGCCATGACAGCTCACTCCTCGTTTGATCCTTGCTCTAAGTTTGCGCTCTAGTACTGGATCAAAGCCATCATACAGGCGCCATTGCTCTTCTATCTCCTGTTTAGTGCTAGTTATAATAATCTCCGAGGCATCAAGAGTTAACTCTTCAGCCTCTATCCGCCGCATTATTTTGTACGTTGCATTTACTTCTTCCCTTGACTGCCGTCCCTGTTTCATAAGTTGTTCAAGCTTGTCTCGCCCAAGTGAGTGTCCAGTAAAAACCATAGGAACATTTAGAGCTCCGGAGAGAAGAGCAGCAGAGTCACCAGCATCAGCATAATGTCCATGAATTGCAACAGGCCAGACTGGATTTCCACCACCAATTTGCTCTCCCAAAACATTAGACATCTGCATAATATGACCTAGTGCACCATCTACAAATTCTGGAATGTAAGGCCAGAGGAGTTCCTTTCTTATGTACTTGTCCTTCGGGCCAAATGGTATTCGAATAATGTAAGCACCGCTACTCTCACCGAGCTCCCCAGTTGAATTCTCAGAGCTGATTAGATTCAGCATCTCTGTTGGTTCACCATAACTCCAATCCACATCTGGAGCCGATACTTGTCTTGTCAGCAAATCAACCCGATAAACCCCTGGCATTGTCCCCAGGGCCCTTGCAAGCTCCACTACATACTTGACCTGTATAAAACAGTAAATTCAAGACCTCCCCATGAGTAAAGTGGTGCTTCATGATTGAAATGATGGTCTAGAAAAAGTACTTTCCACATAACAATAAGAATTTGAACAGAGATGCAAAAAGGAAAGGGCAAGGAGTTACCTGGCCACCTGTATCTGAATCACGACCAAGCTCCATGTTTTCACCACGTATCAAGCCATGAAGACTGTAAAACCGCTTGTTAGAAATAATTTTATGAACCATTATGAATTTCAAGCAAGTTGTAAATTCTATATATTCAAATATTGAGATCAACTTTTAGTTCACAGGTATAAACAAAGTCAATATGAGTAATAAGCATGCAAATAACCCATTATAATGTCAGGTCAATGATAAGAATTTTGGCCATGCCTTATGAGCACAATGTAAAGTTTCTTTTCTTTGTGCTGGTTAGCCCAATTCTCCATCACATCAACAGAACTTATTCTAGGCATTCTTCCTCTAACACTCCCACCATGTGCTGAAAGGTCACCAGGCACATCTCCTTTCTCTCCTTCTGACAGATCTTCCGACATATCAGCAGTTGCCTCTTTGCGACCTCTTTCACGTTCAAGGTGGCGTTTCGCTATCCTTTGAGCTTCCTCGCCCTCAAGCTAATAAAAAAAGTCCAAGTAAAAATGTAAAGAAAAGGGAAAATATACAGTCCAAATATAACTAAACATTCTTGCCCCCGTTATGAACCATTAACTGCGAACCAGTTACAACCTAAAAAGCATCCCCATTAGGAACCATATTTCCAACTAAACATATTAAAACAAATAAAAATAAAACTCCGCGTGATTCATTCAATTGTTGTTAAAGATTCGCAAAATGTAGTCGCTATTGTTCGAAATCACAAATCCCAAAAGTGCATGTCAATCGAACATGAGTTCAAGCTCACCACACAATCCCATGCATAGCTACGATTTTTTCTTCATACTTTTTTTTTTATTAGACTTGGCGTGTATTTAAAATTGTAATAATTTTTATAATTATAGCTTGTTAAAGCATGTTAAAAAAAAAACTATAAATTATAATGTTTTTTAATTAAGGTTTAGATGCAAAACTAGTTGGCGTGTATGATTTACTAAATCCCTTCAAACTATAATTAAAACAAATTATAATTTTGACAACTCTGCATTATATTTCCAAACAGAATCTTGAATACTCTGATTAGTTTAGTAAAACTTTAGTTTTGTTAGGCATTACAATTTTGTTTTTAAAATTTTTATTAGCTTTAATTGTTTTTGTATTTTTTGAATTATTTTAATGTTCTATATCAAAAATAAATTTTAAAATCTAAAAAAATTGTTTCAATAAATTCATAAATAAAAAACATTTTTAAAAAGTAATTTTTACCAACCATTTGCCACCGTAGTAACTGTTCAAGTCTTAACTGTGCATGTTTAAGTATATGAACGGGAGCGGGTTACAATTATTTTTTAAATATTTTTTATATTAAAAAATATTAAAATAAATTTTTTTATTTTTTAAAAATTATTTTTTCAATTAACAAATCAAAACCATTTAAAATATAAAAAAATAAAGTTTTTTTAGGAACAGTTTCCCAACATTCCCTAACTGGGATCCATAATCAAAACATGATGATAAACATGCTGGACCGGGTTTGATTTGTCTTTTTACTCCATCAATTAAATTACTCAGTGATAATTATCATAAACAAATCAAACACCGTAAACTAATCATTGAACACTTTTTTCTAACTGAAATTATATTTATATATATATAAGAACCTGCTTCTTCTTGCGAGCCAAATTCCAAATCCTCCAGCACATATTTTCCAATCTAGTATTTCTCTCTTGCGTACTCCTCATCGCCGCAGCCTATCAAAAATCAATTCACATTCAAAATTACAAAAATAAAATTGACTTCACCCAATCAAATGAAATAAAAAACACGGTGTCTTGTCGCCTCGATCGTCTTACACGAAGCCAGGAACGATGGAGATCAGTCTCATCGAAGCCAGTAATAACTTCCTCAACAAAATACCGAGTAGGACTAAAACGACCTCGCTCCCTGAGCAACAAAGACGATTTTGCATCGTCGATTCCTGGATCAACGTCCAGTATCGCTTCTAAGTAACTATTTATCCAGTCATTTCCCGCCATTTCCGCACAAACCGAAGAAGAAGAAGGTGATTCTTATTTTTCTTGAGAGATCAAAAGGAAACGGTTATCATCACTTTTGTGTGTGTTCTATGGAGAGAAGAAGGAAGAAATGGTGTTCTGTTGAGAGAGGAAGGAAGTAATATAGTGGTGCGATTTTTATAGTGTTTGATTTTTATTTTTATTAAAAAAAAGAGAGAGGAATAATTAATGGAGTAAAGAGAATTTCTTAATTTTGATAAAAGCTTTTTTCAGATTTGAGAGAGAGAGAGACCCGGGCGTGAGGCTATGAGGTGGCGTTGTTTGAGGAAGTTGGCGCGGTCTCTGGAAAAAGGTCGCGTCGGTTTGGAACTTGTTCGATTTTAAGCTTTGTGAAATTAGGTACCACAAAGTTCGTCCTCTTGATATGATGGGTATTTTACATCACTCCTCAAAGTATATTCTCTTGCAACTTTACCATTTAAGGACCCATGTTCTAAAAAATAAAGAGGAATGAGTTATTTTTATTATTTGAATGTATAAATAAAACCATTTTACGGTGAAATAAATTATTTTTTATTCGTGGTTTTTAGATGATAATAGTAATATAACAAAAATTAACAATATTCATGATCATAATAATTTTAGCCGAAATGATAGTTGTTATTGGATAATAATGGTGTCGTTAAGCCGAAATGATAGTTGTTATTGGATAATGATGGTGTCGTTATTAATACAATAATGATTATTTAACTAACAATATTGATGGTAGAGCTTGTTAAATAATTAAAAATAAAAAATAAAAAGAAGAGATAAAGGTTTTAATATGATCTAACAAATTACTTTAAAAAATTAATTTTATTTAAATAAAAAAGATTATATATAAGCTAAATAAAAAAATTAAAAATTATTCTATTTTTAATAAATAATAATATAATAACTCTATTTTTCTTAACAGAACAAACATATTGTTAAAGAATCATCTCAACCTAAAAATTTAAATTGTTAGATAATATTTTAAGATATAATTTATATTATTCTCTAACACATTCTCTTAAGTAAAAGTTTTTTGGGCTTGAAACTTATACAGGTTTATATTATCTTGTGCTTAATTTTTTATCAAATAAATGGAGATAGTAAAATTTAAACTTGAGATTATTTGGTCATCAAAATTCTAATACTATGTCAAAAAATTATTTTATTTAAAAATTTAAATTATTAAATAAAAATTTAAAATATAATTTATATTATTTTTTTACATAAAAATAAAAATAAGATGGTATCGGTGCTCGTGATCACGCTTTAGTTGGGCTATATTTTCAGGCATCAAATTAACTATTAACCTAGCGAGAAATGTAGAAGGGACAAGGCATGTAAAAGGAATGTCTCTAATGCATAGATTTGCAAGCCAGAAAGTGGAGAACAAAGAACAAAATGGGCACAACGTGGACTGTCTAGAGTGGTTAATTTATTTTCAACTTTTATTCGTACTTAGCATGAACGTATATTTATCTAGCTAATCGATTACCTATCTTCTCTCTTTATCTTAGAGTCAATTAACCTATCAAAATTCACCAAATGCCTTGATTCTTGAAGATGGTTAATTAATCTAATCCAGCAGATTCCCAGATGGAAAGATGCTTAGCAAAAGCAAGCCATGCAAGATGTTCTGCACTTGATTACAAAGAGATCTATTGAAATATCATAAGATCTTGTCAAAAGCCACACATCCCTGTTTCCATGAAGATAACTCATCGCTGAATTTTGCAGCTCAGATCTCTATCTTACCCCTCCCTTTATTTACCTGCGGAGATATTTCGCTTAGTGTTTACGATCATAATTAATTTTTATTAACAACAAAATCACCTTTAAAGTAAATTCATTTTTATTAACAACAAATTCATTTTTATATTAAAGAATTATTTTAATATGAAACTTTAAAGTAAATTTTATTATTTTTTAATATATTTTTTAAATAAAAAAATTTAATTTAAAAATTAAACAAACTTATACTATTTACCTATGGAGATATTTCGCGTTACAGTGTTGATAGTGTTTAGAATCATGATTAACTTTTCATTAACAATAAAATTTTATTATCAAGAATCATTTTTACATGATATTTTAAATTATTAGTTAAGATTTTAAGATATAATTTATATTATTTTTTAATATAATTTTTCAAGTAAAAGAATTTTGAGTTTAAAATTTAGATAGACTTACACTATTTTATATTTAATTTTTATTAAATAAATAAAAATAATAAGATTTAAACTCGTAACTACTTGATAATTAAAGTTCTAATACGGACTATGTCAAAAAACAATTTCAATTTAAATTTAAGTTTAAGTTATTAATTAAATAAAATTTTAAAATATAATTTATATTATTTTTTAATATTTAATGTATTTTACTTCATTCAACCATAACCATAATCTTGAATAGTTAGATATTATTAATTGAATAGCTTGAGATTATCAATTGAAGACTCAAAAAATGAATCAGTCACGAAATTCTTTCCTCACAAGTTCCCGAGTCTGAGTTGGTGGAATCCATTTAACCTAATTGGGGAGATAATTTTAGCTTGATGCCCACAAAATGCATGATCCTTGATTCCATTTGATTGTTGGAGAAGGAAGAAAGAAAAAGGAGTAAGGCAGCTAAGATACTAATATGGTGTTCTTGTATATATCGTTTCTTTTAGATTAAGGCAGCTAAAATTCTCTCTCTATTTTTTCTTGGATTTGAAGGATTTGTTTGCGAGATCAATCTATGATTTGAGGGTTTTATTTATTTTTATGTCAATTATTTAAAATTATCCAATCAATAACTTGTTAATTAATAACATTTTGTGTTTATAAAAATGACTTAATTAAAATTAATAATTATTACTATTTAATTAATCAATTAATTAATAGGGCATGACATGAACAAACAATATTTTACATTCAATGTAAAAATTATTCATCTTGTGTGGAAATTATACCCAACATCAACAAAGTTTTAAAGTAGTATCAGGATATTTTGATTTTTTAAATTTTTTTTAATTAATATAAATACTTAAATCAATTTATATATATCTCAATTAATTTTATAAATTTTAAAATTAATAAATATATAATTTCTGAATTAATCGATCAGGCAATTTTGATTTTGAGAAGGAGGGTTGTATGGCATATTTGGTATTGCGGGGTAAAATATTTGTTATTTTAAAATATATTATATTAATTTTTTATATATGTTTGATTTTTAATATAAAAAACTTTAAAAAATAATCAATTTGATTTTTTTAAGTGAAATATACTATTAAAACATATTAAAGGATATTTAAAATAGTGGTAAAAGTTATGTATTAAAGTATTTTTATTTTAAAATATATTAAAATAATATTTTTTAATTTATTTTTAACGATAGAAAAATATCTTAAAAATTTAATTTAATTAAAAATATTATTTAGAAAAGAAAAAAAAAACAATGCCCAACTAAAATGCCAAATAACTCCTCGAAAACAGAAGAATTGTCGTCATCCCCTAGACTCATTCCTTAATCGCGTGACCGAACAACCCCCGAGTGGTCATGGATTCCCACAATGTTCTCGACGTTGTCGTGGCGTGCAGATGACTACCAATGTCTCGCTCACTGTGCATACGTGGCTGGAAGACAGGTATTATAGTTGGCTGAAAAGTTAGATTTTAGATGCTGACAAAAAGAATCAGTTCCCACGTGAACTCATTTATTATTAAAATATACCACCGGTGTTTTTTTTTTAATTAGATACTTTGTTGTTTTGAATTAGAAACGACAAAAACTTGGGAAAAAAAGAGAGGTTTTCTTTGTGTTTTTATTTTTATTTTAAAATAATAAAAATTTATTCTAAAACTATATCATAATATATTTTTTATATATTTCATCTTTGTTTTTTGAATTAAATATGTTTATATTTGTTTTTTTATTTTAATTAGACAAATTTTGCAAAATCCTCTCCCTCTCTATATATATATAGAAAGAACTAAGAAGAAACATAAAGAAGAGGAACAAATTACTTTATTCTTTACAGAAGGGAAACTTAAACCAAAAGATTACTAATTAATCAATCCCAATTTAACCAGGACAACACAACTATCTAGTTTTTCTTCATCTTCACGCGTCCCCTACGTTCCCATCGCAAAAAACCAACATTCTTTGATCAAACACCAACAACATGGCTTGAAAATCCACGCTGAAGCTAAAAAAGAAAGAAAAAGGAAACCTGAAACTGATACAAGAGACATCAACACTGCAAAAATGTCTTTCTTTATTGGTATGATTATAGGAATCTCTGTTGGGATTGGTCTCATCGTAGCATTTGCTAAGTACGAGAATATCAGATCCATGCGTCGTTCTCAATTGGTAAATCCCATCTGATTCCTTGGTTTCATTAATGATTCATGGTGGATTGGTTTTTTTTTTTGTGTGTTTGCGTTAATGTTTGTGTTTTTTTAGGCTAAGACAGTGGCAGCATTTGCAAGAATGACAGTCCAGGATTCAAGAAAAATTCTTCCTGATGAGTTTTATCCACCTTGGGTTGTCTTTTCACAGAGGCAGAAGATAAGTTACTGTACATGATATGAACAGTAATCCACCCATTGGATTTATGAGTTTCATCACTAGGATCCGCATGTTTTTTTTTTTTAATGGGATTGATTTAGAGATTTTTTATCATGGTTCCGATATTGGTTTGTTCATGAATTGCAGTTAACTTGGCTTAATGCTCAACTTGACAAGATTTGGCCTTATGTCGACGAGGTAATAAGTTTGATTAATTTCCCTTTTTCATGGTGGATTTCTTGCTACACTTTGGGTAATAAGTAATATTGAGCTGCGAGTTTCTGTGGTTTCTGGTTATATAATGGCATAGGCAGCATCAGACCTGATAAGAAGCAATGTTGAGCCAATTCTTGAACAATACACGCCAGCTATATTTTCATCTATGAAGTTTTCCAAGTTGACCCTTGGTACTGTGGCTCCACAATTTACAGGTTAGTTTGACTGATCACAAAATCGGTTCAAGTCCTTGGTGATTTTTCTTTTTCCAAAATGTTGGCAATCATGGGATAAAAAATGACAGAGAATTTATGGTTAGAAATCGAGAAAGAATCCTTCTCTCCCCCTTTTGTTAGTCATTTGAGTAATTGAGTTCCTCAATTTATGGTTAGAAATCATGGCATGAACAGAGTGATGATATGTGCGAGTTGTGGATGTCTTATAGGAGTTTGCATTATTGAAGAGGAAAGTGGAGACAAGGGTATCACCATGGAATTGGAGATGCAGTGGGATGGCAATCCAAATATTGTACTTGATATCAATACAAGAGTTGGTATGG